AGCACTGAGGACAGGGTGGACCCTGCCGGGATCCCAGGAGGCTATTTGGCTCTGCCTGGCAGGCAGGCAGGGAGGGACCAGTGCAGCCCCTCCTTCATTCTCAGGGGCAGCCGTGTCCAGGGTGGGAGTGAAGGGCTAGTGAGCAGCTGTCCCTGTGCTCCTGGGGCCCCGTGTTCAGCCCCTGAGAGCTCTGGCACCAGGTCGGGTCACAGCTCTGACAGCCCCCCCTCTCTCCCACAGCCTGCTCCCCAGGGATAAATCTCTCTACCTCACCTAATCCCGCCTCCCCTCTCCTCCCTGAGGCTGCTGGAGGGGCCCACAGCAGAAAAGAGGCCTTGGCAGGAAGCAGGGTGACCATGAAGAGAGAAAGAACAGTGACATGCTAATGTCCCACGGCTGAGTCTCTTCCTCGACCTCTTACCAGACTCTGCAGAGGCCGCCCAACACCCGCCGCCAGCCCAAAGAACCTGCGGGAACCCTCTGCCCCATGACCTGCTTGCTCCAGGGTTACCGTGGACCCCGCTCCTCGTCTGCGCACCGTCCCCTACGCCTGGACGTCTGGCCCCAGCCCGGGCTCACGCGGGCTGCCCCTGGAGGGGTCGCTGACCAACGGAAACCCCCCAGATGCACGGGGCGGGGGCCAGCCCAGCCACAGATGTGCAGATACGGTTTTGCAGCGTGAACAAGATTCTGAAACATACACTGTTGGCTTTGTGTGAGTAGTTGACTACGTGACTTAGAACTGTGCTGAAGACATCTGTAAGATTATTTTGTGTGTGGGGGGGAAAGTAGTTTCCTTTAAGGTAAAAAGCATTTTCTATGACCCTTAGCACATGTTTTTTTAAGTTTTATCTTAAGGGAGACGTGCACAAAGCAGCGACCAAACCGTTTCATCGTCTGTACAATAAAGAACCGGGGCGTTCAGAGCCACACTCGGAGGCTTGCGTGCGCCTTTTCTTTTAATCATATGCCCATCTATTTAAAATTGCCAACTATGACTTTTGTCTATTTATGAAGAAGACCTGAGGACAGAAATGCAGTCGATCAGAAAGTGTGTGTGGTTTGGGGTTTGGTCGGGGTTTGGGTTCTTCATGTTGTTTGCAGCTGTTTCCTGGCCCTGGTGAACGCCTGGCCCCGTGCCCAGTGCTTCTCTCAAATTTCTTTATAATAAAACTTCTGAAAAGCTGGAAATGTGTCTGTGTCTTTTTGTGCTTCGTAAGCCAGGGCCAGGCCTCCCAAAGAGTGGCATTTGGTGGTGGCTTTGCCAGGACAGAGGCCCTGTTGTGAGGCTCAGGTAAAGTCTCAGCTGCCTGTTCACCCACCCCCAAGGGTCTGTTGGGTGACGGGACTTCTCTGGCCTCCGTTTTGCCATCTGTGAAGGCGGATAGTAAGGGTGCGAACACGTAGGGCTCTCGAAATGATTAAAATGGTATGGGCATGGGTGCTGGGCACATAGGTAGTGATAAAAAAAAAAAGTAGTAATTTTGCCATTCTTAACTATACCTGGAAAAAATAGCAATTGCCTGGCTTGGAGGAGCTGTTAGGAGGCTGCAGCTATTGGGACCCTGACACAGCTATTTTGAGGTGACCTAGACAGAGGAGCCCCCACCTGTCTGGCAGCTTTCGGGGCCTCGCGTCCTCCAATTGTGTAACCTCCCTTCAGTCCCAAAAGGGGTGCAATTTCTCTGTGAGCAGTTTCCTCACTGGAGGGCATTTTGTAAGCCACGCTGGAAAAAGAAAAACGAGCCCTAGCTGGGTAGCTCAGGTGGTTAGAGCATTGTCCCAATACGCCAAGGTTGTGGGTTCGATCCCCGGTCAGGGCACATACAAAAATGAGCCAATAAATGCATAAATAACTGGAACAATAAATTGATCTCTCTCTCAAATCAAATCAAATAAAAAAAGAAAACCAAACCAACAGAGAAAACAACACGCTGTCATGGCGGTAACATCATTGCAACACGAAGCATAAATATTTCATGGGTTACAATTTCCTTCCTTTGAGGAGCTTGTCAGGAACACGGTGCTGAGTTAGACAGTTTAATACTCGACCTCTGCTTCTACATGGGAGAAAACAGCATCGCCGGGATCCACGCAGACAGCCCACGGTACCGAGGCTATCGGTTCCTGCATCGGAGGTGGAGGCCCCCACTCGCCAGGAGCTCAGGAGTCCTTTGGAAATGCCCATGTGCTAAGGCTGGCCTCTCAGCTGCAAGGGACTCTCAGAGACACCCATGCTGAGTCTAAATACCCTGCCTACAGATGGCAGGGGACTGCCAAGTGGGTGCGTCCTGTGGCCCCAGAGAGTGGGCACAGAGCAAGTGGTCAGTGGAAGGTACAAGAGGGCTGACTTCAGGGCCATGGAGTAAGCATCACCAACTATAGTGGGTGCTATTGGCTCCCCACCCAGGTCTCTTTATTGGCCAGTGCCCATCCTCCAACTCCTGAGTGCTGGCTATTCACTGTTCACAGATGCCCACTTTGCCCTAGTCGTTGCCCTTGACTGGAAGGTGATGCCCCATCCCCCGAGAGCTGCCCCCAGCTAGTGACCAAATAATGGAGCAGCGAACTCTAAGGTACCATTCACGCTCCAGAGCGCCCCAGGGTCAGACCGCAGCGGGTCTCCCTCCTCGACCACCTCCCTCCACTCTGAGCGCACCCTCCCCATGAATCACTTGAACCAGGATCCCCAGCTCAGGCTCTGCCTATTTCTAGGGAAACAAGCCTGTGATACCAGCTGAGCACAGTAGGACCACATCAGTGATGTTCCTTTTTCACTGGCTCTGGCCCTACCTGCAAACACAAGACTTGTAGCTCCTGAAACCAACCCACACCTGGCCCAAGGGAGGTTGAGGTTCCCGAGTGTTCACAAAGAAGTCCTCTCCCTGGGGAGAGTCTGCAGCATTCTTTCTAGGACATCCCGCAATGGTGATGGCCACCACCCAAGGAGCCGCCAAGGGCCTAGTGCCACACCCACCGTAAGAGCACTGATGCCTCTGCCACAGATGCCCCCACTGACCCCTGTGCTCCCTCAGCTGCCACCCTGGGTTCTGCAGCCTCCTAAGGGACCAGGCACCACTGCAGCCATGGCACCCCGATTTGTCAAGGCCAGGCTGTGGTCTGGGCCCCCCACACCTCGAAGCCACAGGTTATTGCCTGGACCCTAGACAGTGCCCCGGACATTGGGAGGACCCTCAGGTTCTGTCTGCAGCCCACCCACTGTCCATGGAGCTGGCCCAGGACCAAAGCCAGAACCTGCTTCAATTCCTCCATCTCCCCCACAAACGCATTGGAACCCTCACAGGAGGCACAGCCTGGGCGAAGGCCGGGCTGTCTGCCTCAGGAGGAAGGCGTGGATAACCCTAAAACCACCCAGCCATAATCCCTCCCATACGAATTTCCACATTCGACCAGAAAGTTTGAAAGAACTCACACGCAGAAAAGATCGGACATGCTATTACAGGTTCAAATTTTTTAAAAAAGCCCAACACATCAGTTGTTACTTAGCTCTGCTTCCCAAATTGCCCGAAACTAAAAACCCCAAACCCACCAGATGCTGGAGGGCAACCTTTCATTGAGAAGGGGCTGTCTAGGTGGCGGTGAGCAGGCAGGGAGGAAAGGAGGCTCAGGGCAGAGCCTGCCCCAGAGAATGTTAACTCTGCCGCCTACACGTCGTACAACCTTGGGCAAATTTCTTGCCTCTCTGTTTCCTCATGTGTAGCTCGGGATAGTAATAGTCTCCTTTCAGAGGGTTGTTGTAACAATGAGTTCACACACATAAAGTTCTTAGAACAGTCATTGTATTGTTGTTATTTAAGCTCTACTCCAGAAGGTAGTTTTCTTGTGCTGTGTACTAGTCAGGATGTGGTAGGGTCTGCTGCAGTAACAACTCCTGACATCTCAGTGGCTTTAACACGGTCGAAGTTTACTCCTAGCTCGCCCTGCCCCGGGCACCCCCTCAGTACCATGAATCTAATACTGCCCTCAAGGGACAAGGTGAGGGCGAAGTCCAGCAGAGTACCGGGCGGGAGGCTGCAGCTGCCAAGCAGTTCAAGAAACCACTTTGAGAAAGTTCCAGTCCAGAGAGAAGGGACATGGAGGCCAGCTCTGATTCGGCTGTTGCCCTTGACTATGGACTGCATTGTGTCCCCTCAAAATTCATATGTTGAAGTCATCTCCCAAAAAGCAATGGGATTTGGAGATGGGGCCTTTGGGTGGTGAGTGGGTTTAGGTGAGGTCATGACGGTGGGTCATGATTCATGATGGCATTGGTGCTCTTATAAGAAGAGACACCAGAGAGCTCCTCTCTTTTTCTCTCTGTCACTCATCTCTGTCTCTCCCTCTCTCTGCCATCTGAAGACACAGGGAGAAGACAACCATCTGCAACCCGAGCTGTCACCAGAAACTGGTGACACCCAGCTTCCAGAAATGTGAAGCATTTTCTGTTGGTGAAGCCCGCATCTGTGGTATCTTTTTATGGCGCCAGAGCTGACTAGTATCCCCTCAGAATTAGCAAGGGCTCTGGAGGGACAAGGAAAGGGAGGCAGGACCCCATGACGCTTGGAGCAGCCGGGCCCAGCAGGGCTCAGCAGTGTGAAATCATGCCTGTGGGACAGCGACACAGTGATTTCATGCTGTTTTATAACAGCAATTAGCATCTACATCTGAGGAAGAATGTTAATGTCCAAGGTCCTTGGCTTCAGTTTTAAACTTCAGTACTACATGGCCGTAGCTTAAAAAGTCAACTGTACCATGCAGCTTACAACGACACGGCTGTCCTCGGCTGTCCCCGACTCCCACCAGCTCACACCATACATTCAACTCCTTTAGCTCTTTTCTCTGTTATTTAACAAATAAATATGCATATACTATTTCTTTTTTATTGAATTTATTGGGGGTGAAAGTGGTTAATAAAATTATATAGGTTTCAGGTGTACAATTCTACAGCACATCACCTATATACTGTATTGTGTGTTCACTACCTCATCTCCTTCCATTTGCTATTATCTATTTTAAAATATTATTTATGGGAGGAGAAACAAGATGGCGGGTAGGTAACCGCTGCACCCGCCGCCTCCCGCAATCACATCAAAATCACAACTAAAATACAGAACCACCATCACCCAGAGCCTCCTGAGATCTGGCAGAACAGAAGCCCCACAACCAGGGAGCTGAAGCAGCACCAAGACGGGGAGGAGGGGCAGAGACGCGGGCGGATCGGGGCTGAATCACGGAGACGAGGCCACGGGCCCACACCCGGTGCCGCGGGGTAAACCTGGGAGGGAATCTTGGCCTCAGAGGTTTCCTGGAGGAGCGAGGGGCCCCAGCCCCACAGCAGGCCCCCAGCCCAGGGCTCCAGGGCTGGGAAGAGACGTCCCCACAACTCCGGGCTGTGAAACCAGCGGGGACTGTCCCTGAGGGTCGCGGAGGCTGCGGGAGCCCCAGCAGCTCCTCTAAAGGGCCCGGCAGGGACCCACTCGGACGCTCCCTCTGAGCCCAGCGCCGGGCAGCAGCTGAAAGGACCCGCGACACTCGGGGAGGAACTAACCTGCCTGAAATCCGGGCGAGAGCTGGAGGGGCAGCTTCCTCCTGGGCAGAAAAGCTGGCAGAGGCCATGGCTCCTTTGGCGAGTCCTCCCCGCACACAGCCGGCAGGCAGGCGCCATATTGGAATCGCCAGCACCTGACTTGCACCTTTGGCCCCGCCCCCTGAGTCCCAGAGGCCCCGCCCCTCCCCACCTGCAGCTCATCCAGGCCATTTCCAGGGGCTTTTCTGTGCAAGTGGCCTCTCAAGCCTCGTGCTTAGGACTTTCCTAAAATCTCTCAAACAAGCAACAGCAGGCCCCATACAGCTTGATAAGCGGCCCCAGGCCTGGCACTAGCGGCAGCTGCATTGGCTCATAGCTTGGCCTCTCCTGGGCAACACCAAGCCCAGCACAAGTAGCAGCCAACTATGGTTTGCTGTGAGCTCAGGCTGGGTGGCCCTGAACAAGGCACTGGCACAGGCTGACTTTGCACCTCCTGGGAGTGCACCTGGTACTCAGACTCGACCACGCTGGATTACAACCCTACCACATCCACAAGTGACACTCAAGGGTCACACTTGGTGAACACCAAAGCTCCACTGAAGTAAATCCTGATCCATAAGGGTGTCTCCAGCACAGCAGCTCTTTGGCTGTAGTTGCAGC